GGGGGGGGGGGGGGGGGGGCAGCATGCACTCACCAGCTGAGTTTATTTAATATTTTATCCAAAAGCTACACACAAATATCTGCCTTTTAGTCCAAAATTATGTGCAGTTTTAATTTTTTTAATTTTTTTTTACTTTTCTTTCTTTTGTATATTTCTGATTAAACCTGTTTTCCATCTTATAACTGAGAATAACAGTCAGGAGGGGAGGAGGTCAGCTGTAATCTCTGTCTTCAGTTCATCTCAGACCCCTAATGGCAACTCTTAACCATTTAAGAGTTTAACAGTCTGAACTTTTCTTGAGAGTAAGAGTGATTCTTAGACTTAAGAATTTTTATAACTGGCACTTACACTTAAGTCTGAGAGTAGGAGCAAATCTAAGAAATTTTCAGCACTTAAGTCTAAAAGTCCACTCTAAGAAGTTTTATAACTTCTTGTGTGTTCGATCAGATGAACCTCTAAAACATTCAGGATAGAGGCCCTCGAGGACCAGGATTGGACACCCCTGTCCTAAATAAAACACTGTAGAAACAAAAAAAAGTTTGTTTGAGGCTTATTTTTTTTTTACATTTATTGCCAGGGAGTGACAGACATGGTGGTGTGGTTACATGGTAACCCTAATGATACTGATGTTTTTGAGGCTACTGTGAGATACAAGCCGAAGTCATTCATTTTAGACACAGAAACATGGCTGTTCTGTAAGATACGCCTGTTTTCTGGTGGCTGTGGTTGAGTGGTCAGGGGAGTCATCCTCCATTGAGTGTTGCCAGTTCGATTCCCTCGTTATTCAGTCACATGTTGAAGTGTCCCTGAGCAAGACACTGAACCTCCACCGCCTCTGATGTGTGTCCCATCAGTGTCTGAATGTTATTTTAAGGACTGATTAGTCTCTATAGAATGATTTACCTTTGTGGTGAGATCTAATAGTGTGCTGTGGGAGTGGGTAAATAAGGGCACAGATTGTAGTGTGAAGGGCTGTGAGTATCCTGGTTGGATAGAAAAGTCCTATAAAAGTACAGTCCATTTAACATTTCTTTACTTTCAGTCTGAAAGGTCACAATAAAGATAATTAACTTGTCATAATAGTTTGATAAAAGAGCCATTTAACTCTGAAGTTGTTCAAAATTTGATAAAGAATGGATTGCAAATTGCAACAAAGTTATTTTTATTGCATCTCTGTGACTTTTTAAAAAATGTTATATCTTGTATTTTACCCATCTCAGCTACACCACCAGCTGGATTTTTATCATGTGCAGTATTCCACCCGCAAAGCAACCCAAGTTGGGTGAAATAAAACTTGAGAATCAGTTGACCCATTCTGCAACCAACACTGCGCCTGTGCTGCATGGGGAGGACTAAAATGTCACTGAAGTTCATTTTAGTCGAAACAGAAATTCAGCCAAAATGAAGCCTGATGCAAAGCCGGTATTTGTGGGAAACAAAGAGTCTCACCTCTCCCTTTCTCCTCTGGGCAGACAGGGAGGATGTGCAGGGAAACGGGACATACAGGGAATGGTCAAAACACATCAACAACACTCATCAACAGTTCAGAGGTTTACAACATGTCTGGTTGATGAATGATGCAACTTTCAGATTTGGAAACAACAATACAGAAAACTAAGACATTTGACTGGTTTAAGAACGTTCCACTCAGTGAATCCTGGTAGATTTAACCCTTATAGTATAGTCCATGAAATATTTTCTGACTGGCTGCACAACACTGATTAAAAAAAGCTAACAAATATTTGGATAGATATTGGTTCCTACTGGTCATAAATAAGAATAATAAAGTTTTTACATGACACAGAAAAAGCAGATTGTTTTAATAAAACACTAAAATCCAAGTTTAAAACACAGAGTTTAGTTCAGGTTCAAATGGAGTCTAATTTTTGAGCCGGTTAAATAAACTTCAGAATTATAACGCCAGTGTTTGTTGCTGCAAATCACAAAAAATAAATCTGAAAAATTCAAGTTTAACTTTTCACAAAACAAACAAAACAACAATCTGTTTTTCAGGCCTGGAAAAAATGAATTATCAGATAAATCAGATTTTTTTTTACCCAAAAACTATATTTTCATTTGGTTAGTTTTAGATCAGAAACACAGAAAATATAGAAAAAATGGCCATTTATCATAACTGACAGAAAAACAAACATTGAAATTCTGTATTTTTTTTAGCACAACAAAAACAAGTATTACAACTGTTTATGCAGAATAATACCTGAGGAAACTTCCTGTTTCCAGTATTTTGACCATGCCCTGTACGATTGTAGCATGTGCTATGATAGTCTTAAAGTACGGTGCAGCTCTAGCTTCTTTTTATTCTCCCAAAAGCAACTTAGTAAAAACATTAGTGCAGCAGCAGTGAAGCATGCGTGAGAAAAATAAAAAGAGACATTTTACAGCCCAACTGATTTCAATGCTGTGTCCAAGTTAATAAAGGATGCAAAATTCTTTACTGTGATTTTTATGGGGGGGGGGAACAGGAAAATGTAACTGTGCATGAGAGTTTTAAAAGAGCACATGGGCCAGGAAGCTCACCTCTCCCTCTCGCTTCTGAATATCGTCAGCTTTGTCTCCTGCGTATGCTGACTGCAGGCGAACAGCATCTTCTTGAAGCTGCCGGACCTGCAGGAAATGTGGCATCAAAACAAAAAGTTCAGCTTGGTTTAAAACCAACGAAGCAAACAGGAACAGACTGATTTATAACGTGCTCGAGTGTGAAAAAATGCTTCTTTTTTCTGGTCAAAAGTATCAGGTATTCGTTCTTAACTCCCTCTGTTTTATTTATTTTACTAAACTGTATTAAATTCTTCAAGTTGTCTTTTATGCGGTTGATAAAGTGATGTATATCTGCAAAGCTAACGTTTTTCCAGGTTTTGTTATGAGCCCAGTTTTATATATTTATTTTATCTTGTATCTTTTTATGCAAATAAGTGATGTTGCATCTACAAGGCCAGGAATTCTTCAAAAATTCATTATATGCTGGCTCTTTTAACCTTATTTTACATACAAACAGAATTTTAATAAAGGTGTTCTCCAAAGATAAGTTCTGAAACCACTCTTATGTAAATTATTTTAATGAACAACTTTGATTGATAAGTTTAAAATGTTTTTCTCCACCTTTATGCAGATGATACTGTGGTGTAGTTTGCTGAATCTACAGAGCTAAAGGTGTTCTCCAAGGATGCATTCTGAGACCCCTCTTTTTTATTGATTATTTTAATCCACAATCTTTATGGAGAAGTTTAAGATGCTGTTTTCACCTTTATGGTGGGTGCCCAAACATTTTCCCTGAGAGGGCCAAAATTAAAATCAATCTGAGGGCCACGGGCCAAATTCAATAATATAAGAAATGCAAACACTTAAGTAAAGTTGTTTAATTTTTTTTATGATTAAGCTAGCAGCCAGTGTGGTTGCCCACATTCTTTAGTTGTTTTTTTCAGCTCATGGACATGGAGAAAATTCAACGTATGCTCAGGCAGCAAAGGCTCATGGGATTTTCACAATTTAAAATTTGAATATATGTGGTCTTATAAGGTATGCAAATCTATATATGGGCTTAAATCTAATCTAAATGTCTCTTGTAGTTACTTGTATTTTATATTTAATCTTAAAATAATTACAATCTAGTAAGCAGGACAACTGCTGGTGGGCCAAATGGAATGGCTCGAGGGGCCAATTTTGGCCCGCGGGCCCCACTTTGGGCACCTCTGCTTTATGCAGATGATACTGTAGTGTTTCATAAGCTCCTCGTCAGGTTATTTTTGAACTCAAAGAATCATGTAGTACCGTTCAGTGGTGTTTTCTCAGTACCAAACTAGTTTGAATGCAAAAAATATATTTAACAAAATTTATGAATCTTCTATTTGTCATAACATTTCAGAGTGCAACATGAATTAGCATTTAAATATAGATATTTAGGAATTCTCATCCAACCGCTGGTAAAAAAAAAAAAGGTAGAAAAAATTAAATAAAACTGAAGCAAAAATATTTTTTTCATTTTAAAGTCAAGTTTTGTCTTTCGTTTGAAGCTAAGAAATAAAACTTACATCATCTTCTTTTATGCCAATTTTAGATTACATAAACATTTATAGATTATATGTTCTTGATTCACTCCATCATGGTGCTCTGAGGTTCATCATGTAGTCTAAAACTCTCACTCTCTGTATGTTGTATCCCTTTTTTGGTCTTTGTTGTGCTTCCATAGACTAAAACATGGGCATATTCTAATTTTCTAAGTTATTGGTTTTCTTTATTCTTATGAAATTATTTTATCAGCTTAGTTTTTAACTGTATTATTTTTTAGCAATTAAATAAAGCAATTCATTAAACTGTACTCTAGATTTTTAAAATATTTATGAGTAAAACTATCACTACTGTTTTCTTCATACAAACAGTCAATTAGAAAATAACACCCAGTGTTCCTTTCTGAATCCAGAGACATTACCTGCGTTCCCAGAGCCTGGATGTCGTGCTCGAAGGTGGTGTGCATCCTCTGCAGGGTCTCCACGGTGTTCTGGTCCCGGCCCAGCTCCTCTGGGAGCTTCTTGTGTTTGTCCAGGATGCGGTTGAGGATCTCCTTGGCGTCGTGGTAGAACTTGTGGAGCTCGTAGGAGGCTGCGAGGATCTGCGTGCGCGTGTCGATGAGCTCCAGCAGGTCGGCCCAGGCCTCGTTCAGGCCGTCCTTCCACTCGGCGATGGTGGCGGCGTCGCCGTGGCCCGAGTTGATCAGTTCGTCTGCCAGCCGGTTGACACCGTCCACACGCTCCTGGCCGATGTTTCCTGTGTCGCGGGCAAATTCTCTGAAACGCTCCTGAAGCATCTGAAAGAACAAAAAACAGAAACAAATGTAAACTATTAAGGGTTGCTTCGATTTTATATTTATTTTCACAAGTGTTTAACATCAGCAGATATTGGGGGGGGGGGGGCATCAAGATTGAGGAGTGATACAAAAATTAGGATAGCTTTTTCATAAGGCTTCATAAGGCTTTTTAACTAAAGTAAAAATCCTACTTAAAAACTCTAGTCAGAAAAAAGCAGGGTGAACCACATCTGGTTTTATTTATCTTGAAACATTAAGTTTATTTTCTGTTAATTTTGGCATAAACGTCAAAAAGGGAGCCTAAGTATAAAACATCAGGCAAACAATTCTGTAAAAGGATGTAAGAACATATTAAAATCGCTTCTCTTGTCTATTATGCAGGTGGACTACAGCTTTAAAATTGGTAATCATAGTAGAGTTTGTTCGCTGCAGCCAATTTGACCAACCAACAGACTAGAAGACGATGAGCAAAGAAGAAAGAAAAAAAAGGAGAAGAAATGTATCAAAAAGGACATCGGGGAAAACCTGACATTTGGCAAAATATCAAGACCAAGAGTAGAAACTCTGAGCAAAATGGTGATTTTCAGCCTTGAAAAGCCTCTCCAATGCTAACGCCAGTTCATCCATGCTATGCTAGTTCCTAGCCTCTCTGAGACTAATGCCAGCTTTTTCATGCTAGTAGCTAGCCTCTCTGATGCTGACACAAATGAACTGTCATTAGCCAGGGCGGCCTCAAAGTTACTGGGGCCAGCTGCTCAGTTAGCAGTCAATAGCTGGCTTAGAAATAGATATAGCCTCCTGCTACAAGGATGTAGCAACCGCTGGTTGTGCAATAGTCGTAATTTTGGCCCTCATACCCACGCCATACCAGCAGGAGTTAGAATTCCTGCATACTTTATAATTAATCAAAGAGCTAATTTAACAAATTAAATCCAATGGCTATTGGATTGAAATTTTCCACTAATCAAACATAATAATTTGACCATCTTTCTCCTATGTTGACCTATACTTGTAACTTGTAGAAACCAAAGAGCCAAAAAACTTTTGTTACTAAAGTAGATTTTGTTTCCAATCATGTCCACATTTTATTCAGATACAGAAAGTTGAGATGTTACCTGTGAAAAACACACAGATGGAGCGAGTCTCAGAAAGCAGAAATGTTTAACTTCTAAAGAGATTTGAATTCTATGAAAATTCTTGTTATGACGTGTTTTTTCAGACTCACAGTGACGTGCTCGTAGTCCTGTCCGAGCTCGTGAGATCCAGCCACCACCTCCCTCTCAGCAATCCACTGCTCCAAGTCATCCACCTCCCGATTCAGCTGGAAGAGTCGGAAACGCTCGTCCAGCTTCCCCCGGCGCTCCTCAGACAGATCCTTCAGGCCTGCGTACAGCTTATCCACCTGAGACTGACGCATGCCGATGCGCTCGCTGCAGGAGAACACGGCAGTCAAAACATGTTCGTATTCTTATCCTAAATTTCTCTTACTTTTGTTCTAACAAAGGGTTCATACGAACATGTCACGTCAGATTCAACAAACTCTTCTATCTTCAGGAAAAGTGCGTAAATGAGCTACGTAATTTCCACCTGTTCTATCCAGCTGCTCGTGCACACGAGAGGAGATTAGCATAATTACCACCCMAAAAACACCATATAAGGCTATGTTTCCTGCCTCAGATATCAGGAAGTGTCCATTCATGAAAATGACAGCGAAAATTAAAAAGAAGAACTTTAGGAGTTCAGAGATTGAAGTCCGTCTGTCGGAGATCCAGAAAAGAAAATCTGTCATTTTTAGCAGGTCAGCTGTGGGATAAAATGAGCTGCTAAAAGTATAAACAACTGTGTTAAATCATTTTCATTTATTCAGAAGCCACGGCGCTGCACGACCACTGGACCACTTGTGAATTTTGTTCGTATATGAAAAAAATCTTAGAATACGAAAACATTGGTGAATGCCACAAATTCTCCTAAATCACTCGTACGCACAACTTAAGAACAAATCTGTGCGTACGAACGGTTCTTGCATGAGGCCCATTGTTTGTTCCAGTGGAGGGGTTTCTCCTCAGTTTAGACCTCTTTAAATGTTTTTACTAGACGTGCACCGATAAACCGGCCGTCCACTTTATCAACAGATTTCTTTAATTTTGGGAGACTGGAGATCGGACGATACTTAGAGAAGATCGACGGAAAAGATTGGCTTCTCATCTACCTCCACAAAGATCTGAAGAAAACCGATAACAACACTGCAATCGGTGCAGCCCTAGTTTTTACATCAACACCTTACCTGTCAGGGTGTCCGGCAGCCACCAGGCCACGGCTTGTGCTGGACAGCTGGTGGACAGTGTCAGCGTAGTCCTCCACCGCCTGCTCCAGGATCTGATGCTTCTTCAGCATGGCTACTGAACTCTGCTCGTCCTGCGGGAAACACAAACAGCTTTTTGTTCCTGCTGCCTTCAGACTCAACCGTTTCAGTTAAACAAGCAGACAAGGAAATGAAACAAAATACAGAACTAAAACGAAAAGTGAAAATTAAATGAGGATGAGAAAATACATTTGATTGAATATTTGATGACCCTAAGAAAATAAAAAAACAAAACAAACCAGATAGAAAATCAGCTGAAAATCACGATATCCATATGCTATTTAGCTAACTTTAAGGCCCTGTCACACTATAACGTTTCAGACAATGTGTGAAAATTTTGTTCGATTTTGAAGAGGTCTACGCTGAAGATGGAATAAATCAACTGGAAGCCTCTTTTGAATGTATACATATGCAATGTTAACAGTTACATCACATATATAACCTATATGAGTTATTTAGTCAAAAAAATGTTCATAAGTTGGTATAAGTTGTCTAAATCGTTCTAGTGTGACAGGGCCTTTAGCTGACACTTAATGAGTGTTCTTCAGTAGTGATGTTCTGAATACTTTAATAACTGTAAATCCTGCACAACACTAAATCAACAGCAAATTGACTAACATGAGCTAATAAAACTCAGTAATTCAGAAACTGACAGGAGAACAGATACAAAGAAACAGGAAGTTTTTAGATGCATTCACCAAGTTGATGTGAAACAACACACTGATGTGAGCGTTTGATAGGAAAATACTGATCTTACAAAAAACATAGCTGTTGCTTCAAACTTTGAAAATGTAGCAAATTAAAAACTAAAACAATGAGAGTAAAAACTTGCATAAATCCTATTTAGTTTTCAGTATGTAGTATTATTTTCCATAGTAGAAATTTAACTTAAAATATTTAAAATACAGTATTTATGATTGTACAATGTGAAAATTTTTACCCTCAAGAAACTGAAAAATCCTTAAGTTTTTTTAAAATGAAATTAGGGTTAGCGTTATACATAAGACAAATGACATGCAAACGAATATCTTTGCAGCCTGTCCTGGGTCTCCTCCCAGTCAGACATGCCTGAAGCACCTCGCTGGAGAGGCATCCTTACCAGACTCCCAAAACACTTCAACTGGCTCCTCTCAATACTAAAGTGTTATTTAGTTGAAATTACAATGAATGTTTTTGCTTTAATGCTCTATTTATGTTTATTTAGAATGGAATAGAATAGAATAGAATAGAATAGAATAGAATAGAATAGTCTTTATTGTCCTGCCGAGGGGGGAATTCACGTGTCACAGCAGCATCCATACAGAGGTTCACACGTCAAGTCATTAACTTTACGTTTTCATTAACTAAGTTAAGTCATTCAAAACTTTTAATTTTACCAATAAAATATTGTGTACTTGTCATTTAACAGGGTTCCTACAGTTTAAGGCCAGTAAAATTTAAGACATTTTAAGACTTTTTAATGCCAAGTGAAATCAATTTTAAGACCAATTTCACAATAAACACTAATGACAAAAAATTAAACTGTGGCAGAAACTCATGAATCAAAGTATTTTTGATTAAATTTTTCAAATATTGCTAATAGACCAATTGTTTTATCCATATTTAACTGCTTTTTTGTCAAATATAGCAAAAAAAACATTCTTAGCAGTCAGTTTTAAACTTAATTTAATTTCTGGAAATCCTCTAACAACCCAAAATTTGTTGTTTTAAGAACCATAGTTCTCAATCCAGGCTTGCTGTAGATGAAACCTTAAAGTGCATGTGAAATAAAATGTTTGTAAGAACTATGAATGTATTTTTGGAAAGGCAACATTATGAACATATTAGAAAACAAATTTCACATTGCTCAGATGAACAGTTGTTGAGATATTTGCATGTGAAGCAACAGGAAGTGATGTCAAAAGAGAATATCTGCATGGGAATATTTAAAAAATAAATAAATTTTACCAATTATTTTAATATTTGATACCAATTACAGACATCTTACTTACAATGTGTTAAAATTTTTAAGACCCCTGACAGATTGATTTAAGACTTTTTAAGGCTAATTAAGGCCTTATTTTTGGATTGATGAATTTAATGCCTTTTAAGACTTTTTAAGGCTAATTA